CACCTGCCTCACTGTAGCATAGTTATACTGATTTTGCTGCTACTGCCACTGGCCTCTAAGCTTGAAGGCAAGGATTGAGCCATGCCCATTTTGGATCCCCTTGACCTAGATCAAAATATATTTAATGAATAGATGGGTAAATAAAAGTATAAGTGGACAAAAGGATGGGAAGCCTTTGAGATGTTGTCTGCAAGAGGCATCTTAGACATGAGAAAAAATATAGGGTCTAAAACTACTATGTCAGTATGAGGGCAGGGATCTTGTCTTTTTTATTTAACGCTTTCTCTCCAGGCCTTCTTGCAGTACCTTGCATATAACAGGCCTCAGTAAATATTTCTTGTATGACTGAATGAAGAAATGGCCTTATTTGGCCACTCTTTGTAACAGTTTTCATGGTGAGTCTTGAGAGTATCATCACTAGGTAGGATTTAAGCTTGTTTTGGAGAAAAACTGATTATATTTGGTGTAGCGTTTTACATATTATTGGCTTTCAGTGAAGTGTCCACTATGACAATCAATAGTGCTCTCCTTTTTCAGGACCTCAAACCTATCTGCCACTGAATGCATATTCTATTTGTAGAAGATATTAAAAATAATACAAACACGAGTCCAGGCTTCCTTTATTTATTTATTAATTTTTTTAGTTTTAGAATAGAGCAGTGGCCTATCATAGATCACACATCCTCATTCTTTCTTTCTGTTCCCATCAGAGTTGGCCTGCTGGGTTCAGTGAGACCTGCCTTCTTAAGAATGACAATGCCCATAGATAGGCAGGGTCTTGCTCTGGGAATACAGTTCTTGAGGGCCCATATTTTCCAAAATCTCTGATTATGCTGGTTGTATAGTCAATAGAGTGGAAACACTGTAATAAGAGACTTTTCCTTCTTTGAGACTTCACAGGTTCTGCATTTGGATGCTAAGGATATTTTAATTGAGGGGAATATAAAGGAAGCACCATACAGTATTCAAAGAGTACCCCTTCATCTATCCATTCTTGTATTCATCTGGTATGAAGGGCAAAATAATGCTCCTTAAACAGAAGGCCTGACTCTTTTTGGTGCCTCTCTTCATGTGAAAACTAACATTAGTCTTATTTGACCAGCTTGGAAAAGCAAATACTCTTGCAGGAAATAGCTGCCAGCCAGAGGGGACCTCCTAATCTGCCATTGTTGTGGATTAACTTTATTGAATAGCAGCTGTACAAAATACCATGTTAAATGAAAGGGAGCTCCACACCAAACCCTAGAGGTTGCCTGTGTCTGCTCCCCACTTAATGAATGTAATAAGGCAGACAGTACCCCAAGGACAAGTATATGTCCAAGAGACTCAGCTTCCATGACAGTATGGATTTGAGCTCTCTAGGGGAATCAAGGAAGCTTATACATCATTGTTTTCCATCAAGGCCAAAAGCCTTTTCTATTGTCACAGGCCAGATGAGGCAGGATGAAGAGAAGTCTGCTGACTCAGTAGAAAGCCTCCTAAGGTGGGCAGAAAAGTAGCTGCATTACTGAGCCATCAGTGGGTGACTTCAGGAAACAGTTCCATGTGGCTCATTTGCCGCTTTTTCCATTGTAAGGAACCTTGAGGGATGGGGAGAGGATTAGGGGGATGTTAGCCCATTAAGATATTACACAATAAAGATGGCAGGCATCCTGTTCCCCAAACTTTGGCAAGAAGAAGTGTAGGCAGCATGGGAGTGTGATGCCAACCTTCCATTTCTGTGGACACCCCACCAGATTTACAGGGAGTAGTCATCAACACTACAGATACTGTTCTCTTCACCTGCCATTGTTCAGTGCTTCTCCAGGGAAAAAATGTGCCTCTGTACTTGCTATCCTTGACTGCTGTTAAGAATACAAACGAGCCATAATTCAAACTTTTGTGAACCACAGATCAGATATGAACTTCAAATAAGTTAGTAATAGCTAAGATCTTTGAGGGATACCGTAAGTCAGGCATCATTTTAAGACTTTACATGTAGTAAATAATCAATCTTCATAACAACCCTATGACATATATACTATTATTATTATCTCCACTTTACAGATGAAGAAACTAAGGCACAGAGAGGTTAAGTATCTTGCCAATGGTTAACAACTAATTAATGGCAAAGTAGGGATTATTTGAACCTAGGCAGTCTGGATCCAGATCTCATGTTCTAACCACAGTGGTCAAATTATCTTCCTTACATAACACAGAGGAGAAAAATCAGTTCACACAAAGCTCAAGGGATTTTGCATATAGCTTTACAAAGTATGTCTCAGCCCAATGTTATTGACCAGTGTAGTTTTAAGAAAAGAAGAGCACTCCTGAACTAAATATCAGTATTTCTAAAGATCTGGTTTCCAAAAAGTCGAGGAATTTTCCCTAGAGCATAGCTAAAAAGATTATTGAATCACAGGGTTGAAGGGGACTCTGAGAAGCCATTTATTCCTAGTCCTTAAGAAAACAAGATGTAGGCAAAGAAGGCTAAAGGTAGAAATTGAAAACAGTCTTGAGGTTTCGAATGTCTGGTTGGAACACACATTAGAACTGACAGTGGCTGCATAGCACCACATACTTTTAATTTAAGAAGCAACTTAGCAGCCATTTAAATAAAATATGTTAGTATTTCCTTTACCTTAAAGAGAATATAGTACTATTAATACTAATATTAATTATGACAGTTAACCTTTATTGAGTGCTTATTATATGCCAAGCATTGTGCTAAGCATATTATTAAATCTTCATAGCAATCCTATGAGGTTATTATCCCCATTTTACAAATGAGGAAACTGAGGTAAAGATAGGTCAAGTTACTTGTGCGAGGTCACATAGTTAGCAAATAACAGAGCAAGGATTCAAACTCAAGCAGTCTATTTTCCAAGCTTGTGTTGTTAAATACTAAGCAAGGTACTTTCTCTGCAGAAAGAGCCCTTTGGGCGACTGTTAAGAAAGCCTACCTCAATTTTCTAGGCCTGTTATTGACTCAGCACAAGCTTTCACTTGTAATTATGGCTTGGATGATTTACTCTCAATGCAAAGGCTTTTTTGCTGCATTATTATAGACAGGTAGCTAAGCACTGTGAGCATAGATTTATATTTAGATGTGGTAATTTACAAATAATCTGATATAAGCTAACACCTAGTCCCCTTGGCATTAGAGCCTATCTGTCCTCAAGACTTTTCCTGGATCATATACCCATACAGTTTAGATTTCCATAAACTGGCAATATTTAAGCCCAGTTAGATAGTCTAGTCACTCTAGACTGTAAGAGATTATGACTTGGGACCATTTCACATGGAGCTATAAAATAATATACAGTATTTTAGTTTAAATTCTATTATAATGAAATAATGAGAAAACTAAATAAAAAACCATTACTTTCTTTAGAAATATCTATGGGAAATATGGGAATAATGATTTTTAAAGTATTTTAATAGGCAACATGTTTAAGCCCTATGTGTCAGGCACTGTGCTAAGCACAATTTAATTCTCACAACAACCCTAAGGGTTAGATACTATTAGTCCAATTTTATGGATGAGGAAATTAAGTCTTGTACAAGATATTTAACTACCCAAGACGTAGCAGTGGAAGAAACAGGCTTGGAAGCCAGGCAGATTAGCTTGAGTCTGAGCTCTTAACCACTGTGTAATACTGGCTCTTGTCCTAATACCTGCTGACCCAAAATTGGCCCCACTAGTCACTTAAAACCCATGGAGATCTATGGTTCAATCGTTCTAGCCCTCAAAGGATCCCTGGTTACTCATTTAAATCATGGTTGGTCAAATGGAGTAGGATGCAGTCTAGTTGACACCAGCCCATGCTATGAATTATAGTTTAGTGGGACAGTTCTTTGCCTCTGCCATATAGAGAATTCAAGCTCTTTTTTCCTCCACCCATTTTTCATTCACATACCTTTTTCTTTATGTTTGACTGCATTTATGCTTGTTTCCTACCTTTCAATATAATAACATTTCTTAATTTATCATTAAGCATCATCGCCTATCTTATCTCACTGCCACTATAACCTACAAGGATTAAAAATCTGGCTGGAACTTGTGAAATTATTTTTTGGGGTTGGGAGTAGCTAATTATATAAACAAATGGTACAATACAGAAAAAGTGGCATCACTCTAGATTTTTTTCTCAACTTTAATGTGCTTGTGAATAACCTGGGGATCATGTTAATTTAAAGTGCACCTTCTGATTCAATAGGTCTGGGCTAGGGCATAAGATTCTGGGACTCTTAGCAGCTTTCAGGTTATGCAGACTATACTTTGAGTAGCAATGTCCTAGATTGCCCTGGTGCTGTCATGCTTTTAAGTGGGATCACAATTAAATGAATCTGGGGAGACTAATGTTTAGGTTACTTAAAAAGCACCCCAGGCCTCCATGATGGCTCCCCAATGTCTTCACAAACCCATTTTAATAGTTAATAGTTCTAACAGTACAGGAAGCTTTTTTGGGTCTAAACTAAACCCTTCAGATGCTGTGACATTTTTCTTCTGATTTTATCTTTAGTGGAGATGGAGTTAGTATATCATGTCCATTCTCTTAAGGATTACTTCGTTCAAAAAATTCTGAACAGTTATTCAATGTTAACAATGGTCTTTTGCGATGTTCTCTACCATCTCCTTTCCTCTTCTTTAGGAATCTAAGATTATTGGGAAGTCTAAGTTCTCATTCTAACTACATGTTTATTTGCCTCTAAGAAATATATAAAATCATGCAAACTTTGTAATTCCTTGTCAAATTTTGCTGCCTTTTATTCCAATAAGCTATTTAAATGTTCAGTGACCATATCTTGAATCAGATATATCCCCAGCTTGCTCATAGTACAATAGGGACTATACTAGTAGCTACTGGCTACCCAGTCTATAAAGCTCATATTACAAAAATGCACACTTGAGGCAGAATCTGGTAAATGTCAACTTCAAAATAAGTTGCATCATACTGTTATATTTATTACATGGTCAATAAGAAGAAACACTTGTGAAGTGATTAAAAATAGCCTACCAGGTAAAATTGGTTGTCCAGCAATTCCCAGTGGTGTCATTCCAAGATTATTCATTGCTGTGGCCCATGCAGTTGGATCAGACATAGGCAGTGTCATTGCAGTGGAATCCACATTCAGAGTTCTACTTTTATCAGCTAAAAAGAAATGACAAGTAAAATAATTTATTGTATTAGGTTTTCAAGATCTAGTTTACTTATCAATGTAAACTGGAAAACTCTTTACAGAAGTGGACTGACAGACCAGTGGAGGAGACAGCCTTAATTCCAGCATTTTACAAGGGTTAAAACAATACAGCTTGAACTGGAGGGAAGTCAGAGAATTTTATAGGAGTTTACCTCATGGCATTTTAGTGTTTTCCTTTCCCTCTTTTTCTCTTCCCCCCTCTTCACTCTCTTTCCTTCCCACTCTCCCTTCCTTTCTTCTCTCTTGTCTTTTTTATGAAGATTTTAATTTTGTTTAGAGCAATTTTAGGTTTACAGAAAAATTGAGGGGACAGTACAGAGATTTCACATATATCCCTTGCCTGTACATATGCCTAGCCTCCCCCATTATCAATATCCCCCACCAGAGTGGCACATTTGTTACAACTGATGAACTTACATTGACACATCATTTTCACCCAAAAGACATAGTTTTTATTAGGGTTCACTCTTGGTGTTGTACATGCTATGGGCTTGGACAATGTATAATGACATGTATCAGCCACTGTAATATCATACAGAAAAGTTTCAGTGCTCTAAAAATCCTCATGCTCTGCCAATCGTCTCTCCCTCCTCACTAACTCCTGGCAACCACTAATCTTTTTACTGTTTCCATAGTTTTGCCTTCTTTAGAATGCTATGTAGTTGGAGTCATATAATATGCAGGCTTTTCAGATTGGCTTCTTTCACTTAGTAATATGCATTTAAAGTTCCGTCATGCCTTTTCATGACTCGATAGCTCATTTCCTTTTAGTGCTGAATAATATTCCATGTCTAGATGTACCACAGTTTATTTATCTACCCACCTACCCACCTATTGAAGGACTTCTTGGTTGCTTCCAAGTTTTGGAAATTACGAGTGAAGCTGCCATTAACATCCATGTGCAGATTTTTATATGGACATAAATTTTCAATTCCTTCGGGTAAATAACAAGGAACACTATTGCTTGATCATATAGTAAAAAGTATGTTTAATTTTGTTAAGAAACTGCCAAACTGTCTTCCAAAGCAGCTGTACATTTTGCATTCCCATCAGTAATAAATGAGAGTTCCTGTTGTTATATATCATTGCCAGCATTGGGTATTGTTAGTGTCCTGGATTTTGGCCATTCTAGTAGCTGTGTAGCAGTATGATGCATCTTTTCATATGCATATTTGCCATCTGTATATCTTCTTTGGTAAGGTGTCTATTAAAGTTGTTGGCCTATTTTTAAATTGGGTTTTTTGTTTTCTTATTGTTGAGCTTTACATGTTCTTTGTATATTTTAGATAACAACCCTTTATCAGATGTGTATTTTGCAAATATTTTCTCCCAGGTTGTGGTTTGTCTTTTTATTCTCTTGACATTGTCTTTTGCAGAGCAGAAGATCTTAATGAAATCCAGCAAATCAATAATTTCTGTCATGGACCATGCTTTTGGTGTTTAAAAAGTCATCACAATATCCAAGGTCATCTGGGCTTTTCTCTTAGGTTATCACTTAGGAGTTCTATAGTTTTGCATTTCATATTTAAGTCAATGGTCCATATTGAGTTAACTTTCATGATGGGTGTAAGATCTGTGTCTAGATTCTTTTTTTTTGCATGTGGATGTCCAGTTGTTCTGGCACATTTGTTGAAGAGACTATCTGTTCTCCATTGCAGTGCCTTTGCTCCTTTGTCAAAGATCAGTTGACACTATTTGTGGGGGTCTATTTCTAGGTTCTCTATTCTATTCCATTAACCTATTTATTTATTCTTTCACCAATACTACTATCTTGATTATTGTAGCTTTATATTAAGTTTTGTTGGGTAACATCACTCCTCCAATTTTGTTGTCCTTCAATATTGTGTTCGCTAGTCTGGGACTTTTGCCTTCCCATATAAACTTTAGAATCAGTTTGTTGAAATCCACAAAATAACTTGCTTGGATTTTGATTGGGATTGCAATGAATCTACTAGGGAAGAACTGACATCTTGACAATATTGAGTCTTCCTATATGCGAACATGGAATATCTGTCCATTTATAAAATTATTTGATTTTGTTAATCAGAGTTTTGTAGTTTTCTAGGTTTTTTTTCCAAGTGTACACACCACAGACTTTGGGATGATTAAGAGGTTTCCCATCTTCTCATAGTCTAGTTGCATATGATTACCTCAGCTGCTTCCATCCAAACTATTTATGCATGCAAACCAAGAAAAAAACATCCAAGGGCTTCCATTGTAGCAATAAAAATGAAAAATTATATTCTTGATGTAATTTAATATCTTGAGGCAGTACTATTATAGAGATGGACACACAATCAACACATATCAAACTAGCTTATCTGAACACTGGGGGATTGTTGGGGGATACAAGAGAATAAGCAGATAGGAGACACAATTCTTGACTTCAAAGGTTATACAATCTAATTGAAAAGACCAATGATGATTATTACTATTATCACTACTCTACCACCTCCATCCATTACTATCACTAATTATTGAATGCTTACCACATGCTAGGTAAAGCATTTGGTATACATTATTCTCATTTCACTTTCAAAACAACTCTATGAGATAAGGACTATTTGTATCTCCATTTAATAGATGAGAGGTTTTGCAAAGTCATATATATGATCCAAGGTCACACAGGATGTGTACTTTTAGCCACTATGTTTTACTATCTCCAATTAAACAATAGGAAATAATGAAAGACTTGAATGGTATAGACCAGAAGTGTTCCTGAAGTTTAAGGAATGAAGGGCTACTGTGGCTTGAGTAGTGGAGAAAAGACTTCATAGAGAAGACAGGATTTGAAAGAATGGGCCAGGTTTCTATATAACATGTCTTGAGTGATGGTCAATTATTAGATAGGTAAAAAAGAGGAAGAAAGACATTCCAGGAGCAGGGATGACATAAGCAAACAGACATTGAAGGGTGTTATAATATATGTACATGCACATGTATATACTGCATAGTTGGGAGAGATAGTTGTAAGTCATCTGAACACAAAGACTTTTATTTTGGGAAAATTCCCTTAGGTACCGATTTCCATAGGAAAAAGGTTCCATGGATTTTCTCCTGCCTCCCAGTATGAGCTTCTGCCCTGCATCCCTAAAGGCAACTCTGCTCCAATATTAGCGTGCTAATGTCTATCACATCTTTCCAACCTGGAACATCAGGGATGATTCTTGGCTGGGTTATTTATACAAGTGCTATTTTAGTTACTGATTGGTCAAAACAAGCAAATACAAATATCTAAAAACATTATTTCTGAAATATTAATTTTGGTTACTCTATGCTGCCTATGCCTATGCCTCCTTTCCATAAACCAAACACACACACACACACACACACACACACACACACACACACACACATACACAGAGTGATTGATGGTCCTAACATTTATTACTTGTCTGAAGTCACATATCAGAACTGGTAATTTCCCAACTGTAGGAACTCCAGAGTTGTCCTCACACCCAGTTTTTAGTAGTCTCCCATGAAGGTATATTAGGAAACTAGAAATAGCCTCCTTGTAAATATCAAGAAAACAAACATGGGGCATCAAATATCCTTTAAGTCTAGAGTTTATATAATGATTATTAGGTTTATTTGGACTCCCAATCTCCAGCTAGAAGAGATAAGCTTTTAGGGAATGTTAGAGCTGGAAGGGATTGTTAGAGATTACTGAGTCACACTCTGATTTTCTCTGGTAATTGGAGAATGACTCCCAGAGGAAACAGCTCGGTTCAGAAGGATTGGGTCCCAATGCCAAAAATAATTTCTTGCAACAGTTTGGCTACTCTTTGGTTCTGCAGTCCTTGGAAATGTAAGAGAATCTGGTATTAATTGCAATGAAGAATTTTGAGATGCGAGAATGAGAATTTACAATGTATCAACCTAGCCAAACTCTGGACTAATTTTGGGGGGATGGGAAAGAATTATCTAAATTATCAGTTTTTTTAAATGACAGCATGGTAGTACTATTTTCAAAATATATATTAATTTAAAGTGCCTGTTAAAATGTTAACAAGTAGAATTTCTGCTAGGTTTGCTTACATGAACAGATAAGGACAATGTATAATTAACAGCATTATTTTGCTACAATGAATTGCATACTTAAATTCTTAAGGAGTTCTGCTTTCTTCTCTTCCTCCTCTCCTCCAGCCCCCATTTACACCTGCCAAATTCTACTCATTTTTCAAGGGTTATCTCAAATGACAAACCTGGTCTATGAAACCACCTCACTGGAATTAATTACTCCCTCCTATGCATTATCATAACATTTTATCTAGAATTTGATTTTCATATGTTTGCTTATTCTTACTCCTTTTCCCCAAACCAAATTTTATTGAATCTTACTATATGCCAGGTTCTGTGCCAGTGACTAGGAATACAGAGATAAACAAAACTCATTTACTGCTCTGGAAGAACTCACAATACAGTGAAAGGCATGACATATAAATAACCAAATACAAATTACTGTAATAAGCACTGCAATAAACTATGAGTAAATGCTATGGGGACAGGAAAGGAGTAATTAAATCTGCTGGAATGGGTTTGGATGTACGTGTTTGGGTTTGGGAAGAGGAGAGGAGGAATGCCAGGGAAGACTTCACTGGGAAAGAAACATTTGAAATGAGTCTTTAAGGAGAGAGAGCATTTCCTCTAGGTAGTGAATGAAGGGTTAGGGTTGCAGAGCATTCCAGGAAGCAAGAACAACTGAATGTTTACCATTGACTGCCTTGAATTATAGTTATTAGATAAATGTCTCTCTTCTACTAGCCTGCATGCTCTTTTAGGTCAGGGGCTGGGTTTTAGGCATCTTTGTTTTCCCATATTTTTAGTTCAGTGTCTTGTAGAAAGTAGGTATTCAAGAAAGATTTGAATGAATGAATAAAGAAAACTAACATAGTGATTTGGGGGACAATAAGCAACCTATGCAATGACAATCATTGATTATTTGTATACC